CTTCAACAAGTTATCTTGGACTCTTTGGTGTTGACTTGAACTTTAAACTTATTGTTGCCATTCAGGTCATAAAACTTCACATGGGCCTCCTGGTTGCTGGGGAAAAACATCCTAAAAAGAGCCTGAAGAAATTGATTGAGGAGATTAAACAAATTGATGACATATTACTTTTCATCGATTTGGAGCTACCCCGTATGGAAGCAAAGAGCATTGGAACAAACGATGTTGTAGCCATTTTAAAACCTGCTATCGCTCGTGGTGAATTACAGGTAATTAACTTGCATGTTCTAGTAGTGTAGATTGTTATTATTAGGCTAGCGAATAAGTTTCTCAAATAAAGTAATATAAATGAAGTTGATGAGATATGCCTCTCTTTGTCCATAGTATTAGGTTTCGTAGTGAAAATATTTGTTTTGTTCATAGTGAGATTCCATTTTGGTGTGGGGGAGAGTTCTTCTGCTTCGTTTCAGTGTGTTCCGGAGTAGCTTATATCTTTTTTCCGGATGGATTTCAGTGCGTTGTGGCAATTTCTTTGTATAATACAAAAGAAGCCTGGAGAAGGATGCGACAATAGAGAGACATTTCCGCCCTATTACGGTGCCTGAAAGCACCGAGGATAAAGATGTCCGGTTCTAGGTCGAAGAGCAAAATGACATTCATCGTTTTTTACGTCTTACAGGGACAAAATGACTTTTTTTTTTTTAAACTTCATAGAAGGGTTAAATATAGTGTAAGAAACACTAGTAGGAGAGTTCATCACCATGACATATATGACATTACTTGGTTTTGCTTGACATTATCTCCATAAGCAGATGATTAATTTGGTAGTGCATATGATTGTTTCGGTTTTCGTCAATAATCTGCTACGTTACCCGGACTCGGCTCTCCAGGGCAGAATACCCGTGTCGACACGAGTCGACACCGATAGGGGTATGAAATCCGTATGGGATACGGTCAAAGAAGTTTGGGTGCGTTGACAATATGAAGGGTGATTTTGGCGATGAAGGCTCAAGAGAAATCTAGCACCCAAATTTTGCGCTCATCCACCTAGAAGGTAGAGATCGATTGGAATTTGGAAAGGATCAGAGAAGACAGAAGGTATAGTCAAAAGATCATAAAGTATGAAGTTGAACTGTGCAACTGAGTATCAAACATCAAGATAAACTGATAAAGACTCAAACTTATTAGACTTTATGACTCATTATAGTATTATGTGGTGGATGTTTATCCACATAAAAATATTTTATTATAGTTTCATAAGTTTATTTATTCAACAATTTCTAGATGCAAATATTTTTTTTTTTAATCCAACTTGCTGAACAAAATTATTCAATCAAATTCATTATGATTAAGTATAATGTTTTTCAAAATCTGGGGTGTTTAGGATAAGATCAGGAGATGAGAGATATTAATTAAACTCTAATTTTCTTTTACATGTATACTTTTAAAAATTATTACACGCATAAACAAATATAGGCTGGTAGATAAAATCATGCTTCTGTTAAATTAAATAACTACAAAATAAGTAAATTCTGACTAATGGAAAAAAAATATTTACTTACCAAGAAAATAAAAATGAATGATTAATGGGGAAATAAAGAGTTTGAAGTGGTTACCTTTTAAGTAAAAAGGCCCGAATACATGGATTAATAAAAATATACACTCGAAACTAAATTTGATTGTGGGGATTTGATTAATAAGTTTATAAAAACTTATCACTTTAGCATTTTTTTTTTAATTTGAAAAAAATACTTTTCCAATTAATGACATTTCTAGTGTTGGAATTATACATTTTATTTATAAAACCAAAAAAAGTACTTTTCCAAACAAAAAGAGTCCAAATTAATTACATCCGCATTAGCCGCCAAATCTTCTTTCATAATGATGTTTATATATTTCTTTCATTACATACTTTTGCACTACATAAATTCCTAGCTGATCATATTTTTTTTCCGTCATCGAATATTTGATCCACATCTTCTAACATATACTAATTGCTATGAGCTAAAAATAAGAGGTTGACAAAGTCTCCATGTATGGATTTTCTTTTGCGTTACAGGTTGTTTTTTATTTTTGAAGGTTACCTCTTAATTAATTTCTAGTGGTGAAGTGTATCCTTTAATGATTTTTTTTTTGTAATGATAAATTGATAATGTCATCCGTCCAGTTTCATTTTTTTTGTTAAACTAATATTCTAATATGAGTTTAGACTAACTTAATTTCATGAAATAGAAAACATGCTACACTTTTGAACACAATAATGAGAAGAATAAAAAAGAAATTTCCTTTCCGACCATCATGAGTAGAGTTTCTAATAAATTAATTTTTGTACCTATCAGATGCACTTATCTTTTTCTTGTAATTCCTATATCTTTTCGTTTGAATTCTTTTACGAAATAAATAGACATAACTAACGATAGAATATAAAGTTGTAAATATATTAAAATAAAAGTTCAAATTATACGCATCTAATTGTCTTTTTTCTAAACGCAATTACAGGAACACAATCTTGTGACGTCTCAAAAGAGGCACTTAATATTGTTAATAGAGCAATTCTATTAAATTAAAGTTCATGATCAATAATGACTTCACTTTATTTTATATCTTAGTTATAAAATACTTAATATTGTTAATACTAGTGTAGTTAATAAACCGATTAACATTTATGAATTTATTAGTAATATGATTCACAATCAAATTATATCACACACCTAATTAAATAAAAAAAATTCAAAAGATGTAAGTATGCTATGAAACATTCAATAATAATTGATAATTTATTTTGAGTAATAATACTTTTGCCAAGTTAAAACTAGAATTATAGATTATTATTATCATTGAATAAATTACCTCTTCTGATCTCATATGCTAAACAATACCCAAAATAGAATATTGAGATTTTTATTAACGTGAAATCTTCAAGAACTTCGGATCATTGACTCAATCATTTAATCGATCACTACATTGTAGAATCTTTCGCAAGATGTATAAGAGAAATGAAATAAACTATAACAAATAGTTTATTCTATGAAAAACATTATAAGTAACAAAGAATCGCACTTAGGATATATATATCTACCAATTAAGAACTACTTTGTATTGTTTTTTACTATTATTGAATCATCGATTGTTGATATCATTATATACCTGTATCTTAATAAGATTATTTTGAGAGTTAAACTCGAACATATAATTATAATTTACCGAATTCAATCACAATACAAATGGTCTTGATTAATTTTGAGCTAAACCACATTATAACTTTATCTTAAATACTTTTATGAACTTATCGAATTTAAATTAAATAATAACTAGAATATTCCAGGGGGAATCAAGTATGAATTTTATTATGAACTCGTTATATTTAAACTCAAAGCGAGTTGTATTCATTAAAATTTAAAGCATAACACAAATTATGATTTCAAACAAAAAAATGATTTAACTAGTAAGTAGTTACAAGAACAATTAAGTTTTATTGTCATCCTATAATTACCAAAGGGAAATAGGAGAATCATATTATTATTGTCTCCCGCCAATTGAAGCATGAGTAGTTAAATCACCGCCAATTCACCAAATTTTTGCAAGACATCAAAAGACAGAATCCTTTTTATTTTTTATTAAAGCCTATTGAGGTCTATTTCAAGCCACCAAAATGTTTATTCCAAATACTCTCAACCAAAGTCTTTCTTCTCCATTTGCGTATTCAGATTAACTTCTCAATCCCCCCAAAATAGACAAACTCCAACTATCTCACGAAGTCAAGACGATTTTCCTGGTAAGAATGCTAAAATCGTGTCAAAACATATGCAGATCCTTAGCTATTTTTTTCTCTGCCCGTGAATGATAGTTGGCTCTGTCTTACTTGCTCTGTTTCATAGAAATTTCTTGATTTTCTTCATCAGATTGTTAAATTAACCAAGCGCCGCATCTTGATTATCCTTAATGTTGAACTTTTCAGGTATGACATATTATGGCTTTGTCAAGCAAAGGGAAAAGAAGTCTAAGACCTCCTCCATCAAGTGCAGAATTCGACGATAAACCACTGGCGAATCATGTTCGTATTTATGCAAGAGCAGCAAGGGATGGAGGAAACAGGGTGTTGAATTGTAAATTCTATGAAAAGAAGGTCGTTGGCTCATATACTAAGGTGAAATCACATCTCTTGCATATTCGAGGATCTGGAGTTGCACCTTGTCTATCAATATCCGATGAAGTTAGAGCAATATTAATGAAGGAGCATTTGCATTCAGAACTGCTAAAGAAAAGCTACAATCGGCGGCAAGAAATCAATCCAACTATCTCACTCTCCCAACAGAATCAGATTTGGTGCAATTCAAGAAAAGAGAAGGTACTTCTCTTGGACCTTTAGAGAAAGATTTTGCCGTTCAGGAAAGAGATGATCTTGATAAGTTGGTGGCACGATTTTTTTATGCTTCTGGAATTTCTTTCAACGTCGCTCGCTGTTATTATTTTAAGAAATTATGCACAGCTCTAGCAAACAATAGAGTTGCAGGTTATGTGCCACCTAGTTTTGATAGATGTAGAACTACCTTCTTGCTCAAGAGAAGGCTCATATAAACAGAAAATTGCAGCCCTTCAAGGATTCTTGGGTAAAAAAGGGAGTATCCATATGTTCCGATGGCTGGACGGATATACACCGTAGACCCTTGATCAATATCATGGCTGCCTCTGATGGTGGTGCTATGTTTATTTAAGCTATAAATTCAAGTGGAAACATAAAAGATGGAGAATATTTTGCACATGTGTTCCTAAATGATATTAAAGAGATAGGAGAAACAAATGTTGTGCAAATTGTGACCGATAACGCTGCTAATTTCAAGGCTGCTGGAGGTATCGTTGAGGCAAAATATCCTCATATTTTTTGGACACCATGTGTAGTCCACAGTTTGAATTTAGCATTGAAACGTATATGTGATCCTCCAGAAAATTCAGATGAGTATTTTCACTGTGGGAAGTTTGGTGATCTAATTCGGGATGTCCAAAACATCAGAAATTTTATTGTGAACCATGATATGGCAAATTCAATTTGTAAGAGTCATTCACATTTGTCTTTGCTAAAAGTTGCAGAAACAAGGTTTGCCTCTGGTATTATCATGGCTCTTCGACTTAAGGAAGTCAGAGAATCATTGGAGAAGATGGTGATGGATCCTCTTTGGATGTACAAAGGAGATGGAAAATCTGCGATCGAAATGAAAGCACGTGAGACAAGAGGTGTATTGTTGATGATTCTTGGTGGGAGGAAATAGATTATTTGCTGAAGTTTACAGAACCAATCATTGACATGTTTTGGGCAGCTGATACCGACACTCCAATTCTACATGAAACCTATGATATGTGGGACTCGATGATCGAAAGAGTAAAGGTAATCATTTTTGAGCACGAGGGAAAGGATCTCTTGACTGGAAAATCAGACTTCTTTAATGTTGTTCACAAGGTTTTAGTGGACAGATGGGCGAAAAGCTTCACTCCTTTGCATTGTTTTGCGCATTCGTTGGTTCCTAAATATTACAGCAATGCTTGGCTTCAAGGTGGAGGTAGCGGCAGCATGAAAAGGGTGGCTCCACATGTGGATGATGAGGTTTCTAGCAATCGCTTTATATGCCTTAAGAGAATGTTTTCCGAAAGTAAGCAATTCAAAAAAGTTTCTAAGGAATATGGCATGTTTGCTACTGGTAGTGGTCCATTTAATGCTCCTCATGTTGTTGAGGCCAGGGAATACGAAGAACCAATCTCTTGGTGGGCTAATTATGGATCTCCAACGCCAATCTTGCAATCCTTGGCTTTTAAAAAATTATTATTACAACCAGCCTCATCGTCTTGTTGCGAAAGGAATTGGAGTACTTACTCCATGATTCACAATGTTAAGAGGAACCGGTTGACTTCTCAAACGGCAGAAGATTTAGTCTTCGTTCATGCAAATATCCGCCTGATTACTCGCAAGAAACAAGGGCCATCTAAATATTGGGACATATGTAAGTAGTTCTTCTTTTTTAATAACTTACCATACTTCCGTAGACCATATGTCATCTATCTTAACCACGGATTAAATTTGCAGGTGGAGACAAATTTGATATTGATGGAGATATAGCTGAATTGGCTGACCTTTCAATCAATGATCCTCATATAGAAGCAATGACATTTGATGAAAACTTTGAAGAAAATGAATCTTAACCGGCTAGTTATCTTGTCTTTTGTTTTGTTGGATGTGGCAGTTTCTCCTATTTTGTGTTAGATTAATGCCAGATCCAACATGCCAATAGCCAAGCTATTTTGTACTTTTGGACTACATAAATCAATATTAGTTTGCTTTTGGTTTGTTCTGTTATTCAGCCACTATGCTTAATCTTTCTGGCTTCTTATAGTTCATCTGATGACTTTAAGCTTAAACCTCGTATTGCAAAAAAATTACGAATTACACTAAAGAACAAATCATATCCCCGTACTCGTACCCGTGTCTAAATCCGTACCCACGTATCCTACTTTTACAAAATTTACGTATCTGACACTTAAATCCCGTGTCGTATCGGACACGCGTACCCGAGTCAGGGTAACATAGATAATCTGTTCTATGGTGCTTTGTGAATTGAGGTTTTTAGTTGCACAACTTGAATCGTATTTAAACAAATAGAATATAGGATTGGAGAAGAATAGAGCTCATTCAGAAGGATGGAGAGAAAAGGGAAAAATAAATTATGAGGCAGCGGAGATCAGCCTTGATTTTGAATTGTAAATTACTTCCCTTATATATTAAGAAATCAACTGGCATTTTTACCTTGAACCTCAACCTTTTATCCTCTATTAAAAAGAACGATTTACGTGTATGAAAGTACGATATAGGTAGATGATTTAATAGTAAGCTGTCTGCTTAGTTTTTGAGAAGGAAATTAGTTCAGTAATCTACAGTGTTCTTTAGTAAATCTAATGTACTCCTATTTTAGATCCTGTAATTTCAGCATTGACGATATGACGGAAACTAGGGTTTTGAGAACTGTTTGGGATTGTTTAATGTTACGTGTTGTTACATGAATTGAGTTGATTATGGAGCTGATTACAGCTCTGCAATGGGGATAAACCTTGTGGAATTCTCTAACTCCATGAAACCTTATTATTTCGTCCGATTATAACAAGATGTCAAACCCTGTACATGATTTGCTACGCTTGATCTAAGTGACAAACTATGTTTTCTTTAAGAACAGAGAACTGATAAATTGTTGCAGCAGGACTAGTTTTCCAATTCCCACTTCATTAGTGGGGGAGGAATTTTAATACTTGAGCAATTTGAAATGTCCAACTTGTTAGGGCCTCTGTCATAAGGTCCTAAAATGTTATGTTACCCCGCCGCCGCCAATTCCCCGAAAATTTGCTATTGCAATTACATAAAATTAAACAGAAAAAGTTTTTTAACCTTATGGTTAAGTTAATTAAATCATTCTGAAGTAGGCATTAGTCACCTCGTCTTCCTCTACGCCTCCATTTTTCTCCGTGCCGGACCTTGCCAGAAATAAAAAGAGAGAGAGAGAGAGAAATCATGGCAAGAGCTTTCGTTCAGTCAATCAATATATCTTCTTGTGCTCCGACGTTGAATGGCTCTCAATCAAAAACGAATTATGATTGTAGAAGCAGAAGATCAATAATCACAATGGTTTGAGTTTCGCCGCTGGCCGCGCCCCTAAGGTTGAATGTGAACTGTTTTCCGGCGGCGAAATCCTTGATAAAACTAAACAAGCAGAAGCAGCGGTTGAGCAGACAGATGGTATGAATATACTTGAAGAATATGGAACAAATTTGACAGAGCTTGCAAAACAGGGGAAATTGGATCCTGTCATTGGAAGAGTGGAACAGATTGGGCGTGTTATTCGAAAATTGTGCTGTGAATCGAAGAACATCCTCTTCTAATCGGAGAGAATGGTGTCGGAAAAACAGCAATTGTTGAGGGTGTTGCTCAACGGATTGCAAAGGGTGATGTTCCCGATAAAATTCAGGGGTAGAAGGTTAAAATCCTGTAATTGTGTCAGTTGCCCTGTTCTTAAATTGTTTAATCTTGGGGATTTCGAAACTCTTAATTTTTTTTCCTTCAGGTCATAAAACTCGACATGCGACTCTGGTTGCTGAAAAAAAACATCGTGAAGAAAGGCTGAAGAAATTGATGGAGGAGATAAAACATCGTGATAACGTCATACTCTTCACTGATGATGATAAAATTCCGGGTGCTACTGATGCTGCGGAGATTTTAGAACCTGCTCTGTGTAGTGGTGAGCTTCAGGTAAATAATCAACTCAACAATGGAGTTAATGATATACCCCATTCCTTTTTGTACAAGGGATTTTTGAGTTTATTTCAGTTCTGGTGGAATTAGTACTTAAAGCAGTTAACTGATATCTAGCTTTGATGCATTTTTAGTGTATTGGGGCTGTTACTTTGGATGATTACCGGGGGCGCTACATTAGCTATGATTCAGATCTTAAGAGATGTTTCCAGCCAGTTAAGGTGCCTGAACCTTCGGTGGATGAAACTGTTGAGATTTTGAAGGGGCTTCGCGAGCGATATGAGACTCATCACAATGTACAGTACACATATGAGTCTTTGGTTGCAGCTGCGAAGTTCTCACACAAATGTTTCAGGTCTCTTACTTTGTTACCGTGTTTCTTATCTTTTATACTTCGCATTGTCAACTTTCTGACATAGTTTACGTGTTCAGAAATTATGACATCCCAACGAGTCTGTGTTCCCAGATCAATTGCTGATAATGAGTTTGTGTTTTTGGTTATGGATAATCGATTAACTTTTATCACTATTGATTTCTCCCCTTTTGTGACGTTGGATAAAACATAAGAACCCTCGTGCTCTAGTGGTTCCAATGAGCGACTAGATTGCTTTATGTTGTGCAGTTATTATGCCTTTATTTGGTTGAAAGTTGTTTCCATGGCTAGATTAATTAGATATGTTTTAAGTGCTATCATGGGTTACTGAATACCCTTTTGTTTGATTAAATTCTACATTTAGCGACCGGTTCTTACCCGATAAAGATATCGACTTGATGGATGACGCTGGTTCTCATGTTAGATTTCACCTAACACGACGTCACGCTCAGGTCTACACTAATTCTAAGTTCTCACCATATTTATTTTTCTTTCAATGGAGCTTCATATCCTCGCTAAATTTGGTCATCTTTTCCGCTTTTTCTTTAGGTTCAAGATGAAGTTAAAGTGCTCGAGATTGAGCTTGGAATTATCACCTCAGATAAGTTAAAAGCTCTCGAAAATCAAGGCTCGAAAAAGGTAACTATTTATGTTCAGAGCAATAGAGATAGTGAAATAATATAATGCTGGTCTTCTTTACCTATGTCATATTAGGTTTTGTCTGATTAGGTTTCCCAATCCGTTTCACCTAGCATTATTTTCTATTTCTTTTCGTAAAGATTACTGTCTAGTCTTAGACATTGACTCAGCGAACATTTGCTCGCTGTGAACGAATTGGTTAATTTTGCTTTTACTTCTCTTGCTAATTCTTTACCATTCCCATCGTGTGGTTGTTATATTTGCATATAGGCCAGTGAGTTACACGATAGAGAAACAGAACTTAATGCTCAAATCTTAGCACTTGACAACAAAGGGACAACGGTGACGGAAGTGGATGTTCGGGATACTCTGTTGTTGGAGCACAATTAATGTTCAGAAGCTGTTTCAATTCCAATTCAATGCTTAAACTAGATCAGAATGTTAAGCTGGAAGAAGATGCTCTATCCGCCAGTCACATTAGTGTTGTTATTTTGTTGATCGAGACAAGGTAATTAATTAACTGCAGACGTCTAGATAGATTTTGTTGGACAAAATTATTTCATTTTTCTCCGTCTACCAGGTTAATAGTTTTACTTTATCGAATTACGTCGTCAAACAAAGTTCAGTTAAACAAAGTGGACTACAGATACGGAATACGTAATTAATAACCCAAATGCAAAACTTTTCATTAATGATGAAATTGTTTTATCTTGCAAATGTAATATTTCTTCAATAACCCAAATAATAAAATAAGTGTTTAATTAGTTTCATATTTTTACTTAGCAGAGTTATGAATTAAAAAACATTCAGTTTTTATAATGTGCAAATTGTACTTAAAAATGAAGTATTATTTATTAAGTCATGATCTGAGTCAATCCTTGAATCGACCCCCAAACTGTGGCCCTTAACCTTGGCGAGCCGATGCTTTAGGTTGCCGCCTGTTACTATTAGGATTGACTTCTTACATGTTAAGTTTGTGGTACCTTATTTCAAATTTTGTTAGAACATATTTCTTTACAGTTTGTACTCAACAAGTTCGTACTATTAACGGTTAAATGCTGTGACCGGATTGAAACTTAAAAGGTTTGAAATTCAGATATTAGCTCTTATTGAAAAAAATGTATATAGAGGATTACTTTATCATTTGTACCTAACATTGACAAATACTCCAATATGAATTGTGGCAATAGTCCTAACTAACTAATATTGAAAGAGGTAATTGCTTGATTGGGATTTGTATTGTAACTAACCACTGATGCGAAGTTCATTGTTTGCATATGTAAAATCATCAAGGTATTTAATTCAAACCAACTAAAAAACTAAACGTCATTTCTTGTTATGACTATTGCCACCAAATCAAATATGTAGTCAATCTATCCATTTTAAATTACTCCATTCGAATTTGTGCATGGGATAACCAGATTCTACCGAATGGAGAAATGGGTAAAGAGTTTTGAAAGCATATGAAATGATCAAGCAAACAGCTACGCCGGAGTTAGAGATATTTCATACCAATATGAACAGAATCTTAATTTGTGATGGATCTACTTTTTAATTTAAAAGAATGATGTATGGTCACATACAAAATAGAGAAAAAATCTTGTTAGATACAAATGAAAAAAAAAAAGAATCCTTTCCAAAACTGATTCGAAATAAGACAAAAGGACCCTTTATGTTCATGTTTGTGTAACCCTTTTGATTTGCCAAAGGTATAACTTAATGTCTTTAACGTACAGCAGAAGAAGCTGAATATAAACTTTGGAAATATTCAACATTGCTTTCTATGTTTTAACATTGCCCATGAACGAATTTTCATAAAAATTTTAGAACTTTGAACAAAGCTGATGGACAAAAGTTCATATCTATTTGACCGTACATTTGACTTGAAACAAAGCTGATGGGCAGAAACTTTCTGCTCCTTTATGCTAGAAGGGTACGGATTCTATGCTCAATTTGTGCAAAATGAAACTTCTCTTTAGATTTTCAAACTTATGTCAATGAAACATCATCCGATACTAGCTTGCCGGCCAGGAGAGTTCAAGCTCAGTAACGAAAAACGTGCTGAATGTAAGAAATAAATTCCGCACAGATTAGCAATGTAGGAAGAAAAAGCGCAAACAAATCGAATGACCCAAGAATTTGCCAAATGAGAGAACAAATACCTCCTCGTTGATTTATTTAACAACTGTAATTTGGCTTTATATGGTTTGAACTAAAATTTGATCTCCATAAACAAATAAATAATCGACAGATCCATATAACCATCAGGTCTAGCTACAAATTTCAAACTAGTGGATATTTAAAGCAGCCTCGTTTTGACTGAAATGATATTACCAAAATCTTTTGCTTAAGCCTTAATTAGTTACCTCAACTAAAACAAAAATGTCAGCAAAAAGGCGTTAAACTCCGTGTAAAAACCCACGGATTCTATCTAAAAAGTTTCATATTACAATATAATTAGTGGGCTACTACATGATAAAATCATTGAGCTATATGTAATTGTATTGGAGTCTTAATAGTACGGCATCAAACAAAAAAACTGATGACTGGGTTGAACATATGGGTAAAATACAGCTACAAATATTAGTGAATTTTTTTTTCTTTTTTTTTTCAACGTAGGAAGCAAAAGCTTAGAAGAGTTACATCTTGTGGTGGTTAGAATCCGTTCCAGAGGGTTTACCAAAAAATGAAACCCTAAAGGGTAATGACGATGCTCGGTTACGCGCCGCCGGTCTAACGGTGGAATTCCGGCTAGACTTTCCTACAAAATAGGGCATCGGGGTCTCCCGAGGGTAGACACTCCGATACTTAAGTCTATAAAGGGTTGTTGGAAGGTTTAGGTATGTAGTATGTTAAGCTGTAGATTGCGTACCTGTATTGTGGTGTGAGCAACCCTATTTATAGGTATGAGAACACCTGGACAATCCCTGAATCCTCTTAGGTTTCGGGAACCTAAGCCGCCTCAAGAGTCCCGGTTGGACTCTCCCTTCGGTTGATGGGCCGATCCAGCCTCGGTGATGGATATGGACTCGCCCAGTGCCCCTACCAAGTGTTAGTTGCATAAGATAAACAACGCTTGGCACAAAGTAAGTGTTACCTGGGATACACCCAAGAGTGGACGGGCTACCCTCGTTCAGCTAATTATTGAGCGGTATGTCGAGCAGCCTTGATTCAAACGCACAACTCTCGACCTTAGAAGCCCGAGGGTAACTAGCGGTTAGATCTTGACACGGGAAGGCGATCCGTTTCCTAATCCCGCCCAAGATTTCAATTGCGCGTTATTAGTGGGCACGTTCCCCAAACGACAGCCTCACCATCATTACTCCCTTGAAATTCGCATTAACTGCATATCATGGGCTGTAATTAGGGAAACGTGGGGGAATAATTTTTATTTTTAAGGAGAAGGCTCTACCATTCCCCTGCCACTTATCACTTTCCCCTCTTTGCAAAAACTCAAAATCCTAAACCGCCTTTGCCGGAATATTCAAGCCTCCACCTTCATACTGCCCCAACGATGTTATTTCCAGGGGATTTGCCATCAGGATTCAGGAAGAATGCTAGGAAGTTACAACTCGAAAGGCGAGTGGTCACATCCTCCTCTAACAGTAAGTTTTCGGATCTAACTATCCCCGGTTTCATTCGAAGTTTTTGTCTTTTCCAACTGTAGCAAGAGTAGATTTGTACCGGAATCATGGCTAGGGATTCGGAAGGAAAAACTGTTGATGACTTTGCATCCACCATAGATTCTCTCGATAAGGTAGAGAACCTTAGATCAAAATATGACCTTCCTTTAGACCTAGAGACAAGAGCCCCATTAGGAAATGAGAGGGCCAACTCTTCTCCAGGGGGAAGAATTACTGTGTATGACCGATTTATGCACCTAGGGCTTAGATTCCCCCTCTTCCCCCTATTTGTGGAGATTGTGCAACACTATAGGACTCCCTTTGCTTGTTTTACCACAAATTTAATAACTTTTGTGCTGGGGTTTGCAAGAGTATGCCAACATGTAAAAGTAAGACCTCGATTGATATTGTGGAGGTATTTCTTCCAAGTAGTTTTGGCCTCAACCTCTTTCCAAGACTGGTATATTGTGAAAAGGCGCCTTAGATCCGGCGTGAAAAAGATGGTCGAGGCATATGGCGGCTCTCCAGAATGGAAGCCGGATTTCTGGTTTGTACGGGCATCCAAGAGCTATTGCCTGTCGTGGAATCTCCGAGAGACGGAGGGTCTTGGGGCAATAAAGGATGAGTGGACCCAAGAGGACGAAGAGTGCATCGAGGAGCTCAATGCAGATGTGGAGAAGATTCTGAAATACTCTAAGGTCGTTAAATGGAACGACGTATAATATTATGTGCCTCCTGTATACGCTGAGGAAGATGATACTGCTAATGTCGAGGCCTCAACCAGAATTCTTCTCGAAACCTCTGTTGAAGAAAACCAAGGTACTGATCATTTGCTTTTTCCCTCTGTTTTTAGGTCATGTCGTCAAGCAACGCTGGTTCTCGATTGTTTGGTGACGAAGATCCTTTTACTATTGTGAATTCTGATGAGGACGTTACCATCACTGCAGCACCTCAGAAGAAGAAGAAGAGGATCGTGAAGATCCGTGATAGGGCGAAATCCAAGAAGGCTAGAACGGATGCACCCTCGAAAGAAGCCACACCACCGGGTAACGAGACGGTGCACCCTGCTACTGAGACTGTTCAAAATCCTCCGCCGGAAGCAGGGCCAAGTGTTGTTCCCCCTGCCTCACAAAAAGGCAAAGGCCCCCTCGGAGGAGAGGCAATAATCTTGCCCCCTTAACTGTTTGAGGGAGGCCCGTCCGTGGCTGTGCACACTTTCGGCAACCCACCGACGATTGAGTGCCCCGTCCTCGAAGAATTCACTGTTTAGCTGAATGAGACTGACAGCCTAAGACTGGTAAGGGAGTTTTATCTTTTATGAGTGTTTATCACAAACCGGTGCCCCCTAGTATATTACTAATGTGTTCTGCCGATGTAGATAAGCATGGCCTTGATGGCCTACTTGGTGCAGCTGATGAAAATGCGAGAAGACCTGGTCGCGGCCCGATTCTTGAAGGAGATGAAGCTCTGTTTGAGGTGGTGACTCTCGAGGAAAAGGCCCGTCAAGTCCAAGGGAAGGAAGCTGAGATCGCCTTGGTACAAGCCAAGTATGATGAGCTGGACAAGAAGATGAAGTCCTTCGCCAGTTTTCACATCTCGAAGGAAGAACTACACCAGTGGTGTGTTGCGTTCATGTACAAGACGCTGTCTATAGAAGGGATGGCCGCAGCCCTTGAGGAGATGAATTTGGTTGCCACCAAGTGCGGGGCGTACCCGGTAGGCGTGGCAGGCTTGAGGAGGCTTGATCAGGAAAGGCCAATCAAGGCCAAGTGGTTTAAGCAGCTCCTGATAAAGTACCCCAAGAAGACCATGCACGAGGCGATGGTGAAGGTTCTCACGAGGTTGAACCTCGAGCAACTGCCCCTGTGGGAGGCTTTGACTGGTACCTTGCCGAAAATGAGTTCTCCCGCAGACATTGCCTTATTCCCAGGTGACGTACCTACTATCTTTGCCAAGGGCCCAAGCGAGGAAGATCCCATACCTGCTGTACCGGACGAGTACATGGGTATCGAGCTCGAGGATGCCGACAAAGCCACTGAGGAGGATGTTGCTGATACTGGCCATTCTGGGGTCTAGAGAACTGTCGGGGATGCCTCACAGGACCCTTCCAAGGAACCCCCTCCAGGAAGTGATGCTGTATGAATCTTGCTCTTTGTAATAGCTGTTAGGCCATTTAAACTACCATTTTCTTTTGTAATGAACTGATTACTTCATTTCTTCTTTTTGCGTACTTATATAAGCATCCCTTCCCCTTTTTTTTCTTTGTTTTTCTTTTTGGTTTGATGTAAACACCTTACACTCCTCTTGTGAAGCAGGATAGTTGGTCCGTCCACCGTCTTCACCTCATGGTGCTATTAGAGGAGCAATCGAGCGAGTTCCCACTGTATTCCATGACTAGCGGAATTCTAAAAAATCGTGCCGATGTGCACAGTATCGAGACAGTGGCAAACTTAGAGAATGACCTTCTCGATGCAATGAGGACGCATAATGTAAAGGTTAATCAGCATCTGATAAACGAGATTAAAGGACTTTGCGAGGAGATGCAACGTCGTGAAACTCAAAGTCTGAAAGGATACAGTGATTCTTTGACTTTCGAGGCCAAAATCCACGATGAACTGGTTACCGTGGAGAAGGAGAATGCTTGGCTGAGGGCAAGACAACAGATTACGGTGTCCCCTTGGTTTCTCGAAAAGCATCAAGTGCTAGCCCGGGTGCAGCCCATGATTTTGACCAGAACTCGCCGCTTCATTACAGCCATGGATATACTGAAAGAGAAGGCTCGTGAAATTGAGCTCCTTACGGATTACATTGCCAAATTGCAAACTCTATTACTAGACAACAACATTGACTTCGAGACTTTTGAACATCCGGAGGAAATAGTGGATCCTCGAACTCGGAGTTCTCGAGAAGAGCTGTTGATGAGGGTGCATGCTCAGGACCTAAAGATCGTGGATCTTAAGGACAAATTGAATCAATGTATGAAGTACACGGATGGATGTGAAGTACAGCCGGATGTCGATTTATATAGCGCTTTTTTAGGCCGGATGTGAAGTACACGGCTCTCTCGAGGGAATTGAGTACGAATTCCTCGATTTAATACTGTGTTTTGCAGTGTGTGTGTGAGGAGAATTCCTCGATTTCGTGTCCGGATGTTGAGTACATGGCTCTTTAACGAGGATGGCCCTGAAGAGGGAGTCCATCGCGATGACTAGTCATTGATGAAAGGAATATGTAACATCTTCTATTGAATAATTACCCGAGAACCCAGGTTAGCATTACATATGAGAGGATAAAACTGACATGGTAAATAAAGCAAATAAAACACACAATAGGCAAATAGCAGGCAAAGACTCAAATGTAGAACCTGCGAAGGTTCTAAATATTCCACCACCGATGGAGAATGGTCCCGCTATCATCCATGGCATGTAAGCGGTAGCTCCCTGCTGGGGAAGCCTGGATAACCTTGTAGGGCCCTTCCCAATTTGCTGTGAGTTTTCCATGAGTTTCTGTTCGACTGGTCTCATTTTTCCTTGGCACGAGATCGCCTACAGCGAGGTCAGTGGCCTTCACCTTTTTGTTGTAATGTCTTCGTAGGACCTCCTTATAATTGGCTTCTCGGATTCTGACGGCGTCTCGCCGTTCCTCGAGTAGGTCAAGATTCAACTTGATGTCATCATCGTTGGTGCTCTCGATAAAGTTGATTGTTCGAGGACTCGACAAGCCTATTTCAACCGGGAGGACAGGATCCATGTCATAAACTAAGCTATATAGTGTTTCGTCTGTCCAGGAGTGAGCATTAGTGCGGTATGACCATAGGACGTGGGGTAGCTCGTCGGCCCATACCCCCTTTGTGTCATACAACCTGGTTTTAATCCCATGTAAGATGGTTCTGTTGATGGATTCGGCTTGACCGTTAGCTTGGGGATAAGCCACGCTTGAGAAGCGACGCTCGATATGCACTTCGTCGTACCATGACTTGAAAGGATTACTCTCAAATTGGGTCCCATTGTCGGAGATGATGACCTTTGGGATTCTAAAACGGCATACAATGTTCTGCTAGAAAAAATCCAAGACTTTCCTCCCTGTTATCGAGGCTAGGGGTTTAGCTTCTACCCACTTAGTGAAGTAATCTACCGCTACGATAACCCATCTTACTCCTCCCACCCCCTCTGAATGAAAGGGACCGATGATGTCGGTGACCCACTGGTAGAATGGCCAAGGGCTTTGGATGGTGACTATCTCGTGCTGTGGTTGTCGAGTGATGGGAGAGAAGCGCTGACATTTTTCACATTTCTGTACCCATTGGTAGGCGTCCTTGAAAACTATCGACCAGAAATATCCTGTCCGTAAGACCTTCTTGGCGAGTGCCCTTGCCCGTATATGAGCTCCGTACGATCCCTCGTGTATTTCTTCGAGCACATAAGCTGCCTGCTTTGGGCCAATGCATCTTAGCATGGGTAGCAAGTACCCGTGCTTGTCTAGGATGACGTCTCGTAATGTGTATTTGACCGCCTTCAATCAGAGGGCTCTGGCCTCTGCTTTTCTGCTTGGCAGCGTCCCATCTGTAAGGTATTCGATGAACGGGGTCATCCAAGTGTTGCCGTCCTCGGCGACGGCGATTACCGGGGCTTCTTGGACGCTAGGACTGGGGAGAATCTCGACCCATACTTTGTGGCTGAGGTTGTTCGAGGAGGCCAACTTGCTGAGGGCACCGGCCCTTTTATTTTTCAACCGGACTATGTGGGACACAGTGCATTCTTCGAACTTATCCTTGATTTCGAGGACATTCTCGAGATAGCGCTTGAGTTGCTCGTCGTTTGCTGTGTATTCTCCCAATATTTGTTTCACCACTACCTGAGAATCACTAAAAACTTGGATTTTGCGGACTCCGAGCTTTAGTGCCATGTTCAGTCCTACTATGAGTGCCTCGTATTCTGCTACATTGTTGGTGACTGAGAACCCGAACCTTAGTGCGTATGTATATTCCGCGTCATATTCACGCATGCTTTCGATGTCGGGATCAGCTGGAGGTTTGGATAATATGATAACGGCTCCTCCCCCTTCATCACAGCGAGAGCCGTCGACGTATAGTGACCAAGCTCGAGGGTTGATGTTGGCGCGAGTAGCGGGATCATCTTTAGGCTCCACCGTGTCCTTGACATCGATAGCTCGAGGCATTTCTATCAGGAAATCTACAAAGGCTTGTCCTTTGATTGCTGATCGAGGTTTGTATTCAATATGGTGCTCGCCCAATTCGATTGTCCATTTCATCATCCTGCCGGAGGCCTCTGGCTTGAGTAGGACTTGCTGAATTGGTTGTTCTGTTAGAACCATGATGGATGTGCTTGAAAGTATGGGCGCAGACGGTGGGCGGCCAAGACTAGGCTAAGGATGAGCCTTTCCATGGGTGTATAGCGGGTTTCCGCTCCTTGCAAGACTTTGCTAACAAAATAGACGGGGATTTCTCTGCCATCTTTGCACTGCAAGAGCACGGCCGAGATAGCTTTCTTTCGAGCTGCCAGGTAAATATATAGTGTTTCTCCTGGCTCAAGCTTAGCTAATGTGGGCAACTGCTTAAGGTGATCCTTTAGGTCTTAGAAGGCTTTCTGGCATTCTCCATTCCACTCGAATTTTCTCCATTCCATTTCGCGGCTCGAGACAGAAATTTGTTTAAAGTTGCCAAGGAGCCTGTGCGTTTTTGAACTTCTTTGACGGTTTTTGGCGCTTCCATGGCTAAGATGACCTTGATTTTGGCTGGATCAACACTTATTCCATCCTTGGAGACTTGGTATCTGAGGAATTTTCCTGACCCCATACAGAAGTGGCATTTTTTAGGATTCAGCTTCATGTTAATTTTGCGTAAGATTGTGAAAATCTCCCACATATTTGCAGCTACTTGCTCGTCCTTGTTTGTCTTTAGCACCATGTCGTCCACGTAGATCTCGATGTTCTGGCCGATTTGGTCATGAAAGGTTCTGTTCACGAGACGCTGGTACATGGCCCCCGCATTTTTCAGTCCAAAGGACATCTTATCGTAGCAATAAACCCCCATCTCGGTGATATAAGCCGTCTTCTCTGCATCTTTCTGTACCATAAGGATTTGATGATATCCCTTATACACGTCGAGAAAACTGAGGATTCTGTATCCGGCGATACCTTCTACCATCTGATCTATAACTGGTAGGGGGTAACAGTCTTTGGGGCAATGCTTGTTGAGGTCGGTGTAGCCTTGGCACATACGCCAAGAATTATCGGGTTTTCGCACTAAGACCGGGTTGGCTAACCAAGTAGGCCATAGAACTTCTCGGAGTATGTTGGCACGGACTAGCTTCATTGTTTCTTCATTGATGATATCATTACGTTCACGAGCAAATACTCTTTTTTTCTGCTGCACCTTGACACCTGGGTCAACATTTAGCTTATGTTCCATAACTTCTCGAGGAACTCCTGTCATGTCTGCTGGAGACCAGGCAAATATATCGCGGAACTTGCGTAGCAAGGTACTAACCTCGGCTAGCAATGGGTCTCGGAGAGAAATACCAATTTGAACGGTCTTGGCAGGGTCAGTCTCGCTCAGGATCAACTCTCGCGTCTTGCTGCTGAGGGGGGAAAGGTCGGAGGTCTCGGGATCTTCCGCCTCTGGTGGTTTGGACGTTTGTCGAATTGAGTAACACTCCGACACGGCGGCACCCGGATTAAGGTATGCGATCTTCTTGTTGATTCTAACTGCTGTGAGCAAGCACTCTCGAGAGCTATGTTGGCATCCTTTTACCACTCCAACTCCATACTCTGTCGGGAATTTCATTACCAAGTGATAGGGAGACCAGATTGCGCGTGCTTGGCACATCCAGGGTCGCCCTAGGATTATGTTGAACGGCGAGAGTGCATCTATTAGAGCGAAATCCATGGTTAAGGTGACCGTTCTAGGATGTGACCCTACCGAGATGGGGAGGCTAATTATTCTTGTGGGGATAATAGTGTGGCCTGAAAATCCCATCAAGGGCACTGTGGCTGGGCGGATGCAAGGGTTCTTGATATTCATTTTCTTGAAGCAATTACTGTATATGATGTCGACCAAGCTGCCATTATCCATGTAAACCCTTCTGACTTTTACATTTGCAATTATTGCCTCAATGACCATAGTGTTGCTGTGGGGACAGATGTCCGGGATGACATCGCTGTCCGTGAATACGATGGCCTCCGTCCCCTTGAACCTCTTGTGGCTAGGCTCCTATTGAGGAGTTTTGGTGACGGTCCGCAATGAGTTCTTCATGGCTGTGGTGGATAAGACTTCGAGGGGAGCTTCGTAAATAGCTCCTACCTGGTGAGTGATTAGCTTTGTTGGATCCGCTGGGGGGAGTTGCTGGAGTGGCTGCGGTGCAGCTTCAGTAATGTGATAAGGTTGTTGTTGGGTATTGGCTCTCGGTTGCCAACCGTTTCCCCGACCGTCACCCCGTGGCGGGCCTCTGAAGTTTCTTTTAGGGTGATCTCGTGACGGGGGTCTGTTATTCTTCTGCTGGGAGGCTGCTTCTTGCACGTACTGCTGAAACTTGCCAGACTTGACCCCGTTTTCGATTTCCCTCTTAAGCTCTCGGCAATCCTCCGTGTCATGGTCGTGATCTTTGTGATTCTCACAATATTGTTCTGTTGATCAGTTTGGGTTAGGCGCCAGAGGTTTCAGGGCTGGTAACTCGTCCCTATGGATCCAAAGCATTTCTCATCGCAGCTTGGTTAAGGGTGTTAATCGCCTATCCATCTTGGGCAGTCCCGGTTTATTTTCTAGGGGGACTTTTGGCTTGTCCCTTAGTCCTACCGACGTGAAAGATTCCTGGGACCTCTTGAGTGTGTGTTCTCGTTGTATATAGTTCTCGACGATGGCCCACATCTCTTGAGCATTCTTGGGAGGCTTGGTCGAGAGCTTTACTCGCAACATTGAGGATTTTCGTTGCGGACATCCCGATCATCGATGTGGTCGACCTGCAAGGTTTCTTGTATGAACCGTCTGTGGAAGCCGGTCAGACTCTCATGCTGCCCTTATCTGATCGAGGAG